TGTTGAAATTTGATGACGTTTTAGGAGCACATTTTTATGCCCAAAACCATGCAAAACTTTTCCAATTTTAAACCCCAAGGGTTTTACATACTTTTTTTTTGCAACTGTAATTTTTAAACAGGAAAAAAGACAGGATGGTAATTTTCAAGAAGGAAAACTGGGAAATACACCTCTATTCCATGGTCCCTAAATTTTGAATATTAAGTTAATGCACTTTTCAATATCAAAAAGACGGGATATTTAATCCCTGAAAAAACCTTAAAATTCCAAACCCAAAAAAGGGATGAAATCATCCCAAAAAACTCAAAATTTTTCATGATACTTTACCCGCCCCTCTGGCGGGGAGGGGAAAAAAATAGCTTATGTTCCCCCCCTTTCCCCCCACTAAAACCCAATCAAGAAGCGGGTGGGGGAAAGGTTTTCTTAGAACAATGGGGGTTAGGGGATAAAAAGCCCCCGCACCTTTAAGAAAAAAAAAAAAAAAAAAATCATCAAAAAAAAAACAAAAACCCCCCTTTAAAAGAAAACTGATCAAAAGAACGAAGCCTGACTGAAAAGACCTGATTCTGAGCAACTGAAGAGAAACCCCCTCTAACCCCCCCTTCCCTCCTTTTAAACTTCCAAACTTTACTAAATTGCAAACCCCAGTCCCTTTTAAACTTCCTAATTCCCCACCCCTTTGAAATCTAAAAATCATTTTATCCCGTGGTCATCATTCGGAAAGGGGTTTTCCCTTGCCAGCTAAACCACGGGAAGTTTCCTATCTGAAGGCCCCCGGGTTTTCGGGGGGACTGTTTATTTGACTTTTCATTTACCTATTTTTCCCCTGTTTTTGGGGGAAACATTAAAATTAAACCCTTTGTGTATCACAAAAAATATTGGGGGAAAATATATATGTAGAGAGTCCGGTTTTTTTCTGTCCAAAAATTTTTTGGTGTCATAATTAAAAATTTTTCATATTTCATAATTTATTGAATATAAAATCAGAAATAAAAATATATCAAGGGCTAGCTTTTAGCAACCTATGGGGCCCCGGGGGGGGTTGGGAGAATATAATCTTTGGGGATAACTTTGAAAGAAAATTATTAAATTTCTTTTAAAATTAAAAATAGGCATAGAAAATTTTTTTGGAAAAAGGGGGTTATTAGATTTCCTATTATTTGGTTTTTACTTAGTAGGATATATCCTTTTGATTTTTTGTGGGGGGGCAATAAATTTAATACACCAAATCTTTTGCGTTTTGTGGTTTAAAATATTTAATTTTTTTTACATAAATAAATTTTTTTAATTTTCTATTATAAGGGCAAATTTTGTGTGAATGGTACGAAAAACATATTGGGTAAAAGAAATTTAAGGTAAAAATAATAAGTGGTGATCAAATTTTCCCAAGGGGTCCAAATTATTGGTTCCCCAACTAAATATTTGCCGTATTTTTAAAGGGGTGGGGGCACTGTAAAAAATTTCTTTTAAGGGGAAAGGGGCCCCCCCTTTAATTTAAATAAAATATATCCTTACATAAACCACCACATCTAAAACTTTTCCCACAAACTAAATAAAACATCCCAATTTGGGGGTTTTTTTTCACCAAAAACCTGGGTAAAAACAGAATACATCTCGGCCTAAATTTATGAAGAACAATTATTTATTTTTCAAACTTTTTTTAAAAGAAAAAAGAAAACGTTTTTTTTTTTCCAAAATTTTAGTCTTTTTTTTTTAATTTTAGCAAAAAATAAAACCCTGTTTTTAGTTTGGGGGGCCGTACAATGTTGTATACCCGCATTGTCATTCAAAATGTGAGACGCTAAACCTAAAAACTTGCCTGGGCGGGAAGGGGGGAAAAAGTCCCCGGTATTAAATTTGGTTTAAAATCTTTTATTGCACAATGAAGCTAAAAATGACTCACTTTCCCGGAGGTGTTTGCGAACCACGTATGGGGGAAATCCAGAAAGTATTCTTAAGGCAAAAGATGGAGTATCGCCCCCAGCAGCTAAACAGTAACCCCAATACAGCTCCAAATTGTCACCGCACTGTGTAATGAAAGGCCAAGCACGGGCCCTGTATGTGGAATGTGATCCTTACTATAACGATGATCCTAGAGCGTGTGTGGATCATGAGAAAGGAATTTAGGCAGTTATAATTACTAAAACAATTGTATTTCCATGTTCTGTGTACTGTGGGAGACCGGATATAGTGAATACCAGCAGGTCCGGGGAAGAGCGGATAATAGTTTTAATGCCTGGTCCGGGGTAAGCGGATATATGAATGCAGGTCCGGGAAGCGGATATAGTGACTGCGGGTCCGGGAGAGCGAATATAGTGAATTCTGGGTCCTGGAGTAGCGGATAATAGAGAATGCGTGTCCGGGGAGATGCGTAAATAGTGAATTGCAGGTCTGGGAGAGGGATATAGTGAATGCAGGTCAGGGAGAGCGGATATAGTGAATGCAGGGTCTGGGGAGAGCGGATATAGTGAATGCGGAGAGTGATATAGGGAATGCCGGGTCCGGGGAGAGCAGATATAGTGCATGTGGGGTCCGGGGAGAGCGGATATAGTGAATGGGTGGTCCGGGGTAGAGAGGATATACTGATATGCGGGACCAGGGAGAGCGGATATAGTGCATATAATGCGGGGTCCGGGGAGATGCAGGGTCCTGGGATATAGTGAATGCGGGGTCGGGGAGTAGAAGGATCAAGTGAATGCGGGTCCGGGGAGAGTGGGAATACGTGGTCCGGGGAGAGCGGATATATCCGATATAGTGAATTCGGGGGTCCGGGAGAGAGGATTATAGGAATTTGGTCCGGGTAGAGCGATATAGTGATTGCGGGGTACGGGGAGAGCGGATATAGTGAATGCGGGGTAGAGCGGGAGATGCGGGGGTCCAGATATAGTGAATGCAGGGTCCGGAGCAGATATAGTGAATGGGTGGTCCAGGGAGAGGCAGATATAATGAATGCGGGGTCCACCAAACCCCCCCCCCGCTCCTGACAGGTGCCAATCCTGAACGGGGAGCAGGGGATGAAGCCCTTAAAGTGGAACTTTGTCTTTTGGGTTGAGCTCCACTTTAACCCCCTCACACCTGCATAAGGATATTTACCCCCCTTCCCTGACCAGGCGCAATACGGCGTTGCATTACTTTGATAATTGAGCAGTCATGCAACGCATGCAACCAAATTGCCAATTTACGGCCATTTTCCAGGCTAATAAAGCTATTCTTTTGGTGGTATTTGATGACTGGCATTTTTTATTTTTTACCGCTATAAAAAGAACAAAAAATAGGCTCAGGCCTTTTAGACTGAGCAGCCAATTTCCGGGGGGCGAATCAAAGGCATTCACGGGGTGACGGAATATTCACGAAGTCGGTCCTCCGCACTGTAATATAAGAGGGCACTGTGATATAAAGGGGACTGCACTATAAAGGGGCACTGTATTTATTATAGTGGCCCTTTACAGCACAGTCCCCTTTATATCACAGTGCCCCTTTAGATTACAGAGCCCCTAGAGATCTAATCACAATGCCCCCTATATATTCAAAGAGATGGCCCAATCTAGCAAAGAGACATCCCCATATAGCAAAGACGGTATGTCTCTATGCTGGATGGGGATGTCCCTTCTTGGACTGGACTGTCTCTTTGCTGGATTGGGATGTCTCTTTGCTGGACAGGGATGTCTTTTTGTTGGACAGGGATGTCTTTTTGTTGGATGGGGATGTCCCTTCTTGGACTGGGCTGTCTCTTTGCTGGATTGGGATGTCTCTTTGCTGGACCCAACTGGGCAAAGAGAAAGCCCAGTCCAGCAAAGAGACAGCCCGTCCAGCAAAGAGACATCCCCATATAGCAAAGATGGGATATCTCTTTGCTGGACGGGCTGTCTCTTTGCTTGATTGAGATGAAAATAAAAAAAGGAAAACCATGGTGATTAAATACCACCAAAAAAAAAAAATGATTAAAATGTGATATGGGTACAGTGTGATTGTCATTCCCAGTGTGAGAGCACTGAACGCTCCCAGAACGAGAGAACTGACACCCTCCCGTCATTATCTTATATGGCGGGCGGTTAAGAGAGCAATGGACGTCCTGTGTTATGTCTCTATCCTCTGAAGATACCGCTTACAGTGAAACGCGTTAGGGCAGGGCCAAAATGTGCCATTATTATGCACGCTGGCGGAATCGGTGATGCTCATCATTTGTTATGTGCTTATGATTGTCTTCTTATTATACGTATATTGCCATATTACTTATAAAGCCCTCGGTTTTACCATCCTGCACTACGGTGGTCCCTTCTTGTTTTTAACTCCTCGGTGCTGAGCACTCTTACACCGGATCCAGATGGAGGGGCGTGTCTGAATATTTTGTGCCGTGGGACAGCAAAGGCGCTTCATGATCTCTATGTGGGACCGGTGTCTCCGGTAAGGAGCTCACCTTACGTGTGGGTGGTGGGATTTCCTGGCCCCCTCTATTCCTGCAGCACTGAATGCTCTCCGTCTTACACTTTGAAGTGTGAAGTGTGTCGTCTTTTCCTTTGGGATTTTCCATCTTGATTTTGTACCGTCCACCAGGATACTTATTCTTCTGTACACACATTTTGCACATTTGGTTGCTTTATTCATCTTTATCTTTGCAATATTGAATATATTATATTTGTATTTATGCTTGTTTATTTATAATTGTCCATATATACATTGTCCATCTGTATGCAGATACACTCTTTTAATGTTTTTGTTTTTTTTTTTCTATTTGGAGAGTGGAGTACTGGGTTATATCACATATACCTTTTAGGTTTGCGTGTATTTGGCATATTTAAGCATCTAGCTTATTAGTGTCCATATACACATTTGTCCATCTGTACGGATATACACTCTTCTATGTTTGTTTTTTACTTTGAAAAATGAGTATGGTTATTTTTTATTTTGAAAGTTTAGTATGGGTATTTTTTTTTTTTTTTTTTTAAAGTTGAGTATGGGTATTTTTTATTTTGAAAGTTTAGTATGGGTATTTTTTATTTTGAAAGTTGAGTATGTGTATTTTTTTTTTTTTTATTTTGAAAGTTTAGTATGGGTATTTTTTATTTTGAAAGATGAGTATGCGTATTTTTTTATTTTGAAAGTTTTAGTATGGGTATTTTTTATTTTGAAAGTTGAGTATGTGTATTTTTTATTTTGAAAGTTGAGTATGTTGTTTCTGCACAACCTTATTTGTCATTTTTATTTTATATATATATATATATATATATATGTATGTGTGTGTTTTTGCATATATTGGGCTCACCTTATCAATTTCATCTATAAACATATGGTTTGATATAGTTATATTGTATGCACAGTTGCACTTTGGAATTTTTAAGGGACAGCGCATCCCCCATTTTTTTTAAATAGTAAATAAATTGCAATTAACCTCCCTGGCGGTCTGATTATTTCAGATTTTTTTGGTGCTGAAAGCGGTACCATTATTTTGCATGGAAATTTGGCGTTTTATATTGTAGACCTGTAATTCTTAGGAATAACTCACTGAAATCTGTCCGAACAAGAGTCTAGTTAACATCCCGGGTATGATAAAATTTGAAACATGAAATCATAAATTATAATTTAATAAATAATCATAAAAAATAATAATATAATAATAATATAAATTTAATTCAATAATATAATCAAACCAAAAACACTGAAATGTGAAATAGAGCGCCAAGTTCGCACATCGCTGAGCTCAGTCGCAGAATCGTTTTCAGTGTCTGATGAGGAATTTCCCCCACGAATCATTATCACTCAATTCTGCAAGTGGTTCTGATTTACTATCGCTGTTCTCTAGCCGGTCTAAAACCGCGTCTGACATAAAGGGACGCTTTTTGGACGCCATGGACGTTTCTTAGTTTCCAGGCAGAAAGAACAGTAAAAATGAATGCAGGGAACAGGACAAAGCACTCGGGACAAAATGTATGTGAAATGGTTTGGTACAGTAATGTTTTACTATGTGATTTTTGTGATTTTTGTGAATGTCACTTTTTGTAATTTTCAAATTTCCCGCCGATCCGTCCCCCGTACGTCCCGACGCTCACAGAGGACGGAACCCAGATGACAGATGCCAGCATCCACTGGATTACATTGCCGGGGACACTGCAGGAGGGACATCGCGGGAGCGCAGGACAAGGTAAGTGACCGAGGGATCGCGGAGTAGCGCCGCATGGTAAGCCCGAGTGTAGCTCGGGGGGGTTACCGCTTGTGGTACTGAAACTTTACCCCGAGCTACACTCGGGAATACCGCCAGGGGGGTTAATACACTTTTGGAACACTATGCGATCAATTCCTGAAGGATGTTTGTAACATGTAAGGGGCTTGGCTCTGGGCGGACATAAATAGTGAGTTCAGCTGACAACAAGTGAAGCCTGCATCTGATGATTTTATGGCATTTTATTCATTTACTACATTTTGAGAAATGGCTTTCACTGATGTGACTGTGAATTTCAAATCTCACTGACTTGGCTGAAAATATCTGTCACTTTTTTTTTTTTTTTTTTTAAATAGGAAGCCTTATCTTGCTGGGGGTTTTTTAGCTTTCTGAATGATTCTATCTACTTTGAATCAGTTTATTACTGATTTTTTAAAAAAAATATTATAGAAAACATTTGATTTTGTAATTTTAGTAATGTTAATGAATTTACATATTTTAGGACCATTTCTTAAAAAAAAAAAACTTCATTTAGCCTTATCTCCATTTTAAAAACATTCTAAGAATGTGAATATGGCATCATCATGCATGTTAGTGCCTGTCTCTGGTTATATCCAGCATGAGCTCTGCAATGCTTTGCAAGCCCCTTTAAATTTGAACCTGATTTTTTTTTTTTTTGATAAAAATAGCTAAACAATACAGGTTTTTATGTCTCTTCTTCTGGTTAACCCTTTGAGGACCGTAAGATTTTGGAAGGCCAAAAGAATCAATTTGTTTGTTTTTAAAGTTCGTACACTTCAGTTGCTGTAACTAAGACATTTCATGAAATAATTGGCAAAAAGCTAGATCCATTTGTTGTTTGTTGATAAGAACTAATATTTTGACTCAAACCAAAAAAAAAAAAAAAGAGTTTTAAGTTCTTAATCAGATGATACACGCAATTAAAAACATGGGACAAATACGTCCCTTGGTCCTCAAAGGGTTAACTGAGTTTGGTGAGTTTATTGAGGGTGAAAATGGTGGCAGATATGAGCACAGATTAATTAGCTTGCATACAGAAGTTTTGCACAGCACACTAAACAGTTCAATATTTGTTGTTGGACTTTTTGGGACACTGACACTGGCACTTACAAGGATTTATTTTTTTTTAGCTGAAAACAGTTATAGGGAATAATGTCGAATATTTTGTATTGGACATTTTTATTGTCAATAAAAATAGCTAAAAAAATACAGGTTTTTATGTATCTTCTTCTGGTTAACTGTTATTAAAAAACATTTGAGAATAAGAGGAAGAGTGGGATACTGAATTGAATGGAAATATCTCCCTCCACTTGGGTATATATTTTGGATGATATAGATAAAGCAATGTTATGTAAGGTGTCAACACCTCTGGCGAGTTTATTGAGGGCACAAATGGTGGCAGATATGAGCACAGATTAATTTGCTTGCATACAGAGTTTTGCACAACACACTAAAACTTTAATTAAACTTAAATATTTTTGTTGGACTTTTTTGGACACTGGACACTTACAAGGATGTTTTTTTTTTTCAGCCCAAAAAAAAGTTATAGGGAATTATGTAGAATATTTTTTATTGGACGTCTTTTTTTTATTTGCATACTAATTCATTTCAACTTTGAAATTTTTTTTTTTACTAATAAAATCATAAAAGTAAAATAAAGAATGTGTATTATTGGGCTTTTCGGGACACTAGTGCTTGCATCTTACAAGGGTGTAATTAGCAAAAAAATTAAATATACACACACACACATATATATAATATATATATATTATTAAAAATAA